TTTTTTTTTTTTTTTTTTTTTTTCTTCAGTTTTCATGAACAGCAAGCTGATATTCAGGACTTCGATGACTCTTCAAAGCCTGAGAAGCTAGCATATGAGGACCTTGAGGAACATAATTCTTCTCTTGACTGTAAGTCTAAGTTTTTCAGACAATTACTGTACTACATTGGGAAGTCTCAACTTTCACCTTTCCTTTCACCCTAACATTAGAAAGGGGATTATAAGTGGGATGTCCCAAGGATCAGTATTAGAAAAAAAAATTACTCCACATGGAAAAGATGATTAACAGGAATTAGAATGAGTCCATTAAACCCATTTTTGAGGAGCCTATATTTAGTTGTTAAATATATGATCAGAGGTGACAAGTTATCCAGTCCTAGTGTGTCTATGCACTTACGATCATGACACCAGAGCACAGGATGCAAATTAGAAAATGCAATGCTGACACTGTCTAAAAGAGTAAAATTTACTAAGGTTGTATTTCACTGTGAGGGGTAAAGATATGTGAATACCTAACTGATGTTTTGAAAGAAAAAAGTTAAAAGGAGATTTTGATTTTCTTTGCATTTGGTATATAGACAAGAATTGTTTAGTATTATGTAGACAAGAACAGGCAGACTATGGGATTTAGAAGTCCAGTTCTGGACAAATACAAAACTCTCTTTTGCATAAAATGGAAATGGACACTTGAGAAATGACTTTGTGTCTATTATGGAATGCATATCATTTACTTCAGTATCAATTTTTTAGTATGTTTTATAATTTTATATAAAATCAGGCTTCTAATTGTAAATATATCTGCCCATTTAAGGTCATCATTTAGCTGCTGCTGTATTAAATATTATGGATAAGTCATTATGAAACTGAGGTAATCCAGAAATGCACAAAATTTTGTAGAGTACAGTGTGCTCCATTTATGGGGATAGTGGATAAGCGCATAATTCATTTAACTTTATAACACAGTGCCAGTCCTGATGTTTAGTACCTGTTGCTTGCATTCACTGTAGTACACTCCACTTTATTTGCATGTTGGTTAGGTGCCTAAACCTCATATGTGTATAACATTATACAGCCCCATTATCTTTGTAATTAAATCATACTCCATTTAACTGCTACAGAAGCCGTTGTCAAAGGGCTGCTACTAGAAATCTGAAAAAAGACAAGAACTAGTTGGTTTTGCAGCTTCTAGCACAATGCCGTAGCACTGTGTTATTAGAGGCCCTAAAACTGATTAGCACTCATTATATTCAGGGCTTCTTGTAACAGCCCCAAAACTGACTAGCTCCTTTTTATTTTCAAAGCTTATAAGACTTTTGAAGCATTTGCTAGGAACTCTGAGTATAATAAGAGATAGCTAGTTTGGGGGCTTCTAATGTCACAGCTGTCTCACTGCTGCATACATAAGGAGTGTTGGTTATATTAAGTTCAGAAAAATGCATGCTCCAGGTAAGGGCATACTCTTTTTCAGTCCTAAGGCTCTAATGTGGTTTACTTGACAGTAACAAGTGCCTCAGAGCAGCCTTCATTATTTCTGTCTTGACACTTTGTAGCACTACAAAAATACAGCACAGTAGGGAACATATAGGCATCTCAGCCCCCTGGCTGGAGAGCTCACCTTTAAGGCAATTTGGTAGGTCTCCAGATGGGGAACAATAGAGAGCTGTTCTTTGGGTCACCCCACAAACAAGACAGCCCAGTGACTGACAGCCAGTAAGGGTGCACTGAGAGAGATTTTTGGGGCTGATAGTGATAGCCAATTTTTAAGAAGGCAAGTTGACCGATACCGAGCCAATTTCTGATACCACTCTGGGAACTTGAAGAGCAGTGTCCAACTGGTAAGTATGTTGTGGTGGAAGGGGAGTGGGGAGGGAAGGGGCGGAGGGCACAGATCAAGGGCCTTGCGGTGATGGAGGGAGTGGAGATGAGCGGGCACTGTCCAGCCGGGGGTGGAGGGAGCATGGGACAGAGCTGCAAGCAGCTCGTCTGGGGGGTGCTGGGAGGGAGAGGGTGGCTTCCACCGCTGCACACACTGGGAGGGCATGTGCCCCCCAGATCTGGGCAGGGCAGGGCAGGCTGAAGCTGTGGGCTAGGGCTGCACTGGGCTCTTCTCAGCGGGGGGCTGGACCAGGCTGCGCTTGAGGTGGGTGGCAGTGGAACTGTGGGGACTAGGGGGAGGGCTGCAGCTACCCCAAAATTTGCTGTAGCCCCCCCATAGCTCCCCCTCCCAGCACTGTCACCACCTGCCCCAAGCTCAGCTTGGCCCAGCCCTCCTCTGGGAAGAACCTGGTACAGTCCTAAGCTTAGCCCACCCTGCTGTGCTCGAGGCAGATCTGGGGGCACGTGCCCCTGTCCCCTCCCAGATGAGTGGTGGAAGCTGTCACACGAGTGCCAGACAAGCCACAGGACGAGCAGCTCCTGGACAAGCATTGCATAGCAGTGGGAGCCGCACTCCCCGCCTCCTCCCCTTCCTGCACCCCGCCCCCCAGACGAGTTGTGGCTCTGTCCCACACTTGCCTCAGCTAGGCAGCGCCTGCCCCAGCCCCTGCCCCATCTCCACTCCCTCCCTCACAGCGAGGGCCCTTGATCTGGCCCCCCCACACTCTCTCCCCTTCCACCACACCAGACTTATCAGCTGAATGCAACTCTTCACACTGCCACCTGTGCTTCTCACTGCCTACATGCTGCACTGCAGCTGTGTACATGCACAGGCCATTTATTGGCCAAATTATCAGCCATATCAGGCCAATTTTCTGATACAGACTTTTTTCTTTATATCGGTGCTGATCTGATATCAAACCTATGTGTCGGTGCACCTCTAACAACCAGCACTCTCCCTTTCCAGGGAAGGTTGTCAGTGATTAGTCCTGCAGTTCCCATGGCTGATTGGTGGAGCCTGGGCAGGGATACAGCTACTGGAGCTCTGTTGGCCACAATGGCTGTGGCAAGAGCAGGGTCCCAGAAGGGATCCTTGACAGCTTGCCACTGGCCAGGTTATCAGGGAGCTAGCAACTCTCCTTTCCCCCTACGCCTCCACCTCTGCCTTGGTGGGAGGCAGAGAGATACTGGAGATTCTAGGAGCCCCTGTAGTGCAGTGTATAACTGGACGGGTGTTACACACAGTACTACCAAGTGCAGCCTTAATAACTCTACTATTAGAGTTATTAAGGATCTAACTCTACTCTACCGTAGAGTTTCTGGTAAAGATAGATTTAAGTTTTAACTAACTTTTTTTTGTTTGATTAAATGCATTTTTTATAATACTTTCTATTACACAGTTGGTACAAAAGGGTGGATACTGTTGTACAAAATGTATATTGTTGTTTTTATATTCCAAAAGAATATTTCCTTTTAATTTCCTTCCTTCCCTACTGATTCCCTGTAAGGGAATAAATAAAGTTTTGGTTAGCATGAAAGAGCTAAATGATATCCTTAGAAAAACAGAAGTGTTACTTGACTCTTTTGGTTTCCTAAATTTTCAGAGTTTAAGGGAAATATTTGTATTAGGACTGTATAGCATTAACCTCCTGTGAAGCAATATTTTTGGGTATGAAATCTTTTTACCTGAATAGGTGAAAAGTGAGGTGTCTGAGGCCAGGGGCAAACATCCATTTAATGGTGCAGTGGGATCTGATCTCCAATCCCAACAACCATGCCTCATGCCATGCCAACACATACATGGTAGGAAATGCAATTTGTGCCAATTATGCCATTACTACTTGCCAGTGCAGGGGAATCCCAGCACTGGGAAGTTGAAAGTTGGGTGCCTGTAGCCTCTCATACAGCTGATTGTCAGCCATAGTCCAGAGAGCCCTGGGTATGGTTTGAGACCTGGGGATGTTGGGACTGGCATTGACAGTCAACTAGTTCATTTACAGCCCTGATGGGTTCAAGGGAAACCCTGATGGGTTCCCTGCCAGGGAAACTTTAAACCTGATACCTGACAGCTCTTGGAAGATGTGGAGCATCAGAGTGGGCACCCTTTAAAGGGCTATCCCTGCCAGAAGCTTCTGATGCCTTGTACCCAGGATCCTTATCAGAGCTGCAGGGCAAGGAGCCCAGCCCTTTCTGCCCTCTGATCTCTCACCCACACACAGCAGGGCAGTCCTTGACCTAGCTGGAGAACCAGGACTACCCAGAAGCTCAGTGCTAATAGTCATTTGAGACATGGGTTGCCCCAGGCCAGGGCCGACAATGTTGTTGGCAGGCCGGTTGGAGATCTAGGCTCATCCAGGACTTATTCTGACAGTTTGCTGATTTGTCCAGCATTTGCTCTAGAGGGGCCTGGTGTGTGGATGTGCTACAAGTTCAATGTAAGAGGCCATAAAAATTATCCAAAAAATGTTCTGCATTATTTCTGAAACATTTTTATGGCTGATTTGCCATTTGATGGCACCTTATACATGTGTAGCACCCTTGCCATTTATGCTGTAATTAACGTGTTAATTGTGGTGTAAATGTAACGTGTAAAGGGGGCCAGAATTTGCAAGGTAAGTAGAGATTAGAGCAAACCAATAGTAATACATGGTTGGGCTGTACAGTGACAAAGTTAAATTCATCATTGACAAATAGGAGATTACCTTCAGACTGAAGTACAGCCACCAACCAAAATAGCCTGTCCCTCGCTTGCTGACCTCTGTATCAATTTTATTTGGGTGTAAGATTGGCTTCTTCTTTGACTTGGTTTTTTAGGGCTGATAGAAAATGAAGTAAGGATAGCAAGTCTCTGCTCCCTTCTAGGTATCAACAATGAATTATTACATTTTAAGAAAATATCTGTAATTGTGTTGTTTTATGGCTATAATGTTGGCTGCGTTCAATGATGAATAGATAAGGTAGACGATATGTCTGTGGGTTTCTACTTCTTATGTTACTCAGTTTAATGAGTTTTAATTTACTGCTTTTAATTTTCTTTTAGCAGTTCTAAATAGTTTTTTGCCATGACTTGCATTAGTTAAAGTACTTAGTCATGAGCTATTTCTACTCATTTGATATTTTAATTAGATTTGAATTCATTGTCTTAATTTTACGTTAAAAAGATTTTGCAACTGATTATAATCTCCTAACTTTTATTTTATGGGCCTTCAGTACAGACCTAGTCATTTTGAGTAATCTAGCAAGGGCAGACATTGA